AGATATAAGATTTTTTTTTTAAGTTGTCTGGATTATTAAATAACTTTTTTCTTTGAACACTGTTCGTCCGTAAAATTTGGAATTCAAAAAATTACAAGTCACCTATTTAATTAGGGACAGGTTTAAAAGATAATTATGTTTTAGGATAAATTTAATTAATTAAATTTCATTTAACTAATCCATCCATATCAAATTCATCAGATCATTACAGATGTTCATGCACAGTAGAATCAACAAAAAACATTGAAAGAATGATAGAGAAGTCTCAAAAAAATTAATTAATTTAAATTAGATTTCAAGTGTTAAATTTTAAGAATTTATAATTTAATCTTTTAATTTTTTTAATTTTATTGTGATAAATTTGTAACTTGTATTTTAAATTTTAACAGAAAAAATAATTTTTTTATTCTTCAACCATTTTAAAATTTAAAAAATAAGTTATAAATTTGTTACATCGTGGTTATAAAATTAAGGGATGGACTTCTAAATTTTTGAAATTTAACACTTGAAACCTAACTTGAATTAATTAATCCTTTTAAGACCTCTTTGTCATTCTCCAAAAAAAAATACTTTTTTTATTTATAAGTTATTTTTAATATATTTTATCAGATTTAGAAAAATTTAAAATTCATTAAGTTTGTTAAAAAATTAAATAATTGTTCAAATTTACTTTTATTAATATACTTACTTTGATGATATATTTTCTCTTCATAATATTTAAAAAAAAATAAATAAAAAAATTTATAATTAAAATTTAATAAAATCAATTATAAATAGGATTAAAAAATATTTTGTCTCACCCTATATATATTTTTTTCGTCCCTATATATAAGAGGTTATTAGCAATTTTTTAAGAAATGAATCATTATACTCTTATTAAATTAAAAAGAGAAAAATATAATTATTTTAATTAATTTACTTCAAAAAAAGGATTCATATTTTTATTTATAATGATTAAGGGCAAAATTAAAATATTGTTATACTTTTAATTGGATAACCAATTTTTATTAATTTACATGATTCGGTTAAACATATCTTATATATATTGACAGAGGGAGTATATGATTAGAGAGTATTTTTATTATCCTTTTTATAAGTCATTTCTATAAATTTTATCGATATTAATGTAAAAAAAATATAAGGAATAAAAGTGTGTAAAATTTTAAATAAACTCATATATAATAAATTTAAAAAATAATATTATATTATTTTTTTTCTTTTATAAAAAAATTTAAAAAATATATATTATTTAAAAAATTATATTATAACTTATAAATGAGGTTAAATAAATTTTTTAAAATGGGTTTTATAAATGGGGCGCGGGTAGCACTTGGAATCAATAATTGGTGTGGGCCCAGTTCGAATGGCGTTCCGTTCCGTTCCGTTTCTCTTTTCCGTTTTGGAAGTAGAGCCTGGAAGGTTGTTTGTGTGGCATGTTTCTGGTGGATTGTGGACTTGTGGTGTGGGTGGGGGCCAGTCAATGCAAGTGGGCATTTTCTCCTGGGCATAAAAAATGGGAAATTCATGACAATGTCCTCGGCAGAGATTTTAGTTACTACAAGGACCCATAAAAGGCACAATTTATCTCCAAGTCTCAAATCTTTTATTTTAAATATATTTTATGTATAATTAGTGGAATACTTTTATTTTCATTTTTTAAAAAATAATTAACCCATCAACCCTTTCTGTTGAAACATTGAAAAGTTTCCATCATTAACAAACTGATTGTCAAAACACTTGTCGGTGGCAAGTAGTAGGTCTTTTTGGCCCAATGAATAGTAGGTTAAGTACATAATATTTGGAAGGGTGGTGTTCCCAAAATAATTGATAATGATTATACTAGTGTAAAATATAATATATATATTGAATAACTTGTATCTAGAATAAAATTGGTAACTAGCATAGAAAAATGACATCTTGACATATAAAAATGACAACTTGTATATATAAACCTGGGTTCTAATCCCCTAAGGCCATCCCTCCCATAAGTAAGTAATTATAACCCACTGTTGATTGTCAGAGTTGCGGTGGTGGATGGGTTAATTTAAAACGAAATATAAAGATATTTTAGTAATTATATACAAAATATATCTAAAATAAAAGATTTGAGACTTGCTTGGGGATTAGCTTGTACATTTCATGGGATCAAATAGTAATTAGATTTCATACAAGGGATTTTGCACTGATTTTCTCCAAGAAAACCATTGAAGATGGTGGGGTCAGGGTTGCTCGAATATTTTTGAAGAATGATAGTTAGGTTCCAAATGAATGAATTAACGAAAATTAAGTTTTCAATAAAAATTTTTGCAAAATAAATTATAAATATCAGTTACAAACAAAATTTATATTATAATCTAAATATTATATTTAATATTTATATATTTATTTGTAATTAAAAATTTTGAATTTATAATAATTTAGATTGATATTTTTAACTTATTTTTTTAAAAAAATTTATCAGTGACTTAACTAATATTAATTTAATATTTTAAGATTAAATGGCCATGAATACTTTTGGACATTTGTCAAGCCTGGTCTTGGGCTCTTGGCCTTAGTATTGTTTCGTGTGTTTTTTGGTTTTTCCATACACTTTGTTAAAATATCATCATTTATCAACATCAAATCATTTATCAATCAAAAATATTATCAATATTTTCAAAGTAGCTTTTGATTTTAACATGTATAATAAAGTCTGAAATATTATAAAATATTTATATTTTTAGTATGCACTAGGAAAATCAATAAGTTATTATTAGAATAACTTATTATTTTTAAAATAAATTATATAGAAAATAATAACAAATTGTTAAATAGTGAAAAATAAATTGGTATTAAATAATTTTATAATACACCAGACACCTGGGATCATATATTTATAAATAAAATACATACAGGGATAATAACAAAGTATCTTTTTATATTTTTAATTCATTCCAACAAAACATGTCCAAAATTGGATTCCAATTTGATGGAGAGGTTAAGATCCTATCGCAAATGACATTCTACATTTGTTATAGTGCTATGGGCTTGAAAGTATGCTTTGACCTACTGAGCTCCCAAGACCCAACTTATCTAAACTTTTATTGAAAGAAAAAGAATTATTATGCTTAAAAATCAATGTTGTGGTCCAAAATATAAGCATTTATTGTTTTATTCCTGGCTAATATTGATCTAAAATATAAGCAATTTAGTATTCAATTTTTTTAAATTTTATCACTTGTATTATAAATATGGAATCCTGTATTTGTGAATTTATGATCTTCTTCCAACTCATCATAAATTAAAACTAAGATAAAAAGGAAAAACAATATTACTATACCATATTTGCATGGCAATAAATATTTTATTGGTATGCAGTTTTTTTTGGGTTAAAAATTGCTCATATTCTGAATTGGAGAAAGTTTGCATTATAATTAATAAGCTTTTTTATTAGTTTATTTTATGTTTTGTTTATTTAATTAAATTAAAAAATTTTAGGTGAAAAATTCCCTGGAGGTCAGACTTTTGACATTTCTACCCTTTTTCATTTCAAACCCAACTACAACTTCTTCGGTTCTTCCCTTTAACAAATCTCCATCACTGTCATCGGACTCAAGATCGGGGAAGCAGGGATGGTGACGGTGGCAGTCGGTCTTTCTTTTCACGGTGTAGGAGACAATGCGCATGACAGTTCCAGAATACATTTTCATTTAAAATTCATACTAAAACAAAATAAATGTATTCTGATTTGAAGAATTATATCTCATAATTTCTTGTTTTTTCTCCTTCCATGAGATGACTTTGATTTGAACCATTTGCCTTTATCCATACCCCATGACTCATCCTTGTTATATGAGATAGATTTAGTTGACTTCTATTTCTAATTGTTTTTAAGCACAATGTGTGTGGCCATGATTTGTAATTATATTGATTTTTATTCTAGAAATGGAAAAATATTTAAGAAAAGTTAACGTTATGTGTATATATATATATATATATATTCTCTCCTCAAATACCTGATAAATTTAGAAATAGAACATGGGGTTCATTTATGATGTGTATAAAAACTTACTGAGAACAAAAGAAATAATATATATTCATTGAAAAGTTGTACATTGTTTATATATCTAGAAATTTTAATTCACAGCATAAAATTTCTAAATCCATGTCTGAATCATTTTAAATAATTTCTTACTATTTTCCCCTCGTAGATGCCATGACAACTTTTCTCATATATAGTTATTATAAATTTTATCTTTTTTTATGACCTAAATATTCATTTTAACATCTTCTTCTAGCTTTATTACCTTAATTTTTTATTTTTATCTTCCCTTAATGTTTACTATTCTAGAGAAACTCTTACATGTACTAAGAGCACCAGGTTTGTTTGTGGTTTTTACTGAGAGCTCTATCCTCCAGTATAGGGTGTTTAGTGCACCTAAAAAAAATTTGGAAAAAAATTTTCTTTAACCTAATGTATATTTATTGATTGTAATGCTGTTTAAAAAATTATTTAATAAGTTGTAATATCATCTTTGATAATTGATAACTAATTGCTTGATAACAAAAAAATTTAAAACAAAACGTGTTTTAGAAACACAAGTAATGAGTCTAAGTTAGCCTATTAGTCCATCTATCTTGTCCAAAAAAAAAAAAAACCTATTAGGTCTATCGAGTAACCTCGTCTGAATTAACCAAAACCTAACAGCCCTACTCTCATTAAATTCATTCCTTTGAAAAACGTACATGTGCATACAAATATCGAAGAATTGTAAGACTGAATCAGCAACGAAGCGGAAATATATACTTTTCAAAGAATTGTAAGACTGCACAGCTAAATACTTTTCAAAGGATGTATTGTCTTCATGTTTGCGAATCCGATTAAGTACGTTAAGCATGCGAGAAGAGGCCGTCGTTTCGAAATATATATAAAGCATGCAAAACCAAGCCTCCTCGACATAACTCAAGCTTATCATATAATTGATATTCTGGTTCACTTTCGAAGCTAAGAAGCGAAAAAGATGAGCAAAAGCATTGCTGAAAACTGGAGAGATCTTAGTGGGCAACATTACTGGAAGGATCTGCTAGACCCACTTGACAATGATCTTCGCAGGTACATAATACACTATGGAGAGATGGCTCAAGCTACTTACGATGCTTTTAACTCTGATAAAGCATCTAAGTACGCAGGAAGGAGCAGGTATGGGAAAGCTGAGTTCTTTTCCAAGGTGGGTTTGGAAAAGGGGAATCCTTTCAAGTACGAGGTTACGAGGTTTCTATATGCGACTGTAGAAATCGACTTCCTCGTACTGAACGGCGTTGAGGAATCGAACTGGATAGGGTATGTTGCCGTGGCGACAGATGAAGGCAAAGCTGTGTTAGGAAGGAGAGATATTGTGATTGCCTGGAGAGGAACCCAGAAGAGCGCGGAATGGGTTAAAGATGTTCAATTCCTTTTGAATGAAGCTCCACAGATATTTGGCGATGATTCTCATTGTAAAGTGCATCGAGGCTTTTATTCCATTTACACAGCAGATAACTCATGTCTCGACAAAACCAGCGCCAGGAACCAGGTATACAAGGGCTTGTTTGATTTCTATTTTCAAAAATCATTTTCTATCTTAAAAAAAAATGTTTAGGCAAGTGATTTAGATTTAAATGTTTTCAAAACTATTCTCATATTTTATTTGGGAAAATGAGCAAATTGGTTCCTAAATTATAAATGAGCGTCTGAGACTTTAAACTTGTTTTTGGTATAAAATTTTCTTTCAACTTTAAAAAATTATGCAATTTGAATGTTAATTAAAGTTAATTTTAATTGTTAGTTGACAAAAAATGACAAAAAATACTTTAAAAATTACAATAAAAAACCAGAAATTGCAGGACCAAGAAAATCATTTGTCATTTTTTGAGATCATTTTTTATTTTTTTAATCACTTAATGATCAAATTTAACTTTTATTAATAATGATAGGAGCTAGATTGATGCTCCTAGACTAATAGTTGATTGGTCAATTTAATTTGCTCTTTAGCCCTTTTTATTTTTGAAAACAAAAAAAGAAATATCTTAGAATTGTTTTCATGTTTATATTATTGAAATCACTATCATAAACAATCATCATTAATCATTATCGACCACCACTACAAGCTTTTTTTACTTATAATTTTTTTCTAAAATTAACATAATCAAATAGATTTTTATTTTGTATTGCTTTTTAAAAAATATTTTTTAGGAATTGGTTTTAAAAACAAAAAATAGAACAAAACCAAATAAGCCAGCCTAATACATTTTTCAGTCCTTACTTTTTTTACTTGGTTCTTTTTTTCTAATGAGCCCACCCACTCCTTTAATAAGGGTAGTTTTGAAAAGAGAACATTGTCATTTTTTAGAAGATTAATATTATTAACAAATGTTGACTTCTCAACTTAATATACATGATTGATGTGGTTAAAATTATAGGGTCCTACATATATTAAGAATAGGAGGGAGTATGTGTTTTCTATCTTTGAGATGATTATGTGGTTCTATAACTTACACGTATAACGATGTAGGTCTTAAATGAGATGAGAAGACTTGTCAACCAATTTAAGGACGAAGAAATTAGCATAACAGTAACTGGTCACAGCTTAGGAGCTGCACTTGCAACCCTAAATGCAGTGGACATAGTCACTAATGGCTATAACATCCCACAGAATCATCATCATCAGCCTCATCAGATCAAAGCTTTTCCTGTCACAGCCATCGTTTTTGCCAGCCCACGAGTCGGAGACTCAGACTTTCAAGCCTTCTTCTCTGACCAAACAGACCTGCGAGCCTTACATGTTCGTAATAAAGAAGATATTGTTCCAAGACATCCTTTTATAGGGTATTCTGAAGTGGGACAAGAGCTTGAAATTGATACTCAAGAATCTCAGTACTTGAAGAACAATGTCGGTGATGTGGCAGGTTGGCACAGCTTGGAGGTTTATTTGCATGGAGTTGCAGGAACACAAGGAAGCAAAGGAGGATTTAATTTAGAGGTTCAACGTGATATCGCACTTGTCAATAAAAGCTTGGATGCCTTGAAAGATGAATATCATATTCCTGAGACTTGGAGGGTTCAGGAAAACAAAGGTCTGGTTCAGCAACACGATGGTAGTTGGAAGATGTTGGATCTTGAATTGAAGGATGATGACTTTTAATCCATTAATTAATGCTATAATAGTATATTGTTTGACATTTAAAATGTGAATTGTGTTACTTTACTTTGTTTATTCCTAGTAGTATGTTATGTATTTGGTTATTTTGGTGAAGATTTGGTTATTCATTACAAGTTTTTACAAAACATGTCACTGGTTTGTGGTAGAATTTTCCATTGCAAATACTTTAAATTTATTTGTTTGTGTCACGCTCCAAAATAAAGGGTGATCGGCACGGTGTGAACCACATCACATATCCCCATAAACCTAAATTTGAACGTTCAATCCATTTTCAAAATATAATTAGACTCATTGAAATTTATTTTCAAAATATAATTAGACTCATTGAAATTTTAACAATCTTGTTATTAATCATCAATATAAAAACTTTAGCATTTTTATAAAAATTTTGGAAGAACTTTTCTTATAAATAGGATCTCTTGAAAATTTAATAGTACAAGAATGTTCACAAATTATTATATCAATCAGGAGCTTAGCTCCTTCCAATCAGCAGATATCATATATATATATATATGTATGTATGAATATAAAATCTTACCTATAGTCTATGTAGAGCATCTAACCATTCTTTTCCGAAAAAAGTACAAAAGCATTTATAATTACATAAAAGAGAGGGATTTCAGTCAATTGTCCGCCCAACACGTTTAAAGATCCTCAGGGGTTGGCAGGAAAATCAGCGTCAACTAAGGTATTTGAGACTAATAATAATTTTCTAGTGAATAACGTCCCAACAATAAAAAAAATAAAACATGACTAAAAAGAAAAAATTAAAATAATTGTGTGAGTTAAAGAGACAAAAGCTTTCATAAAAATTTAATAAACTTCAAAATAGAATGGCTCTATAAAATTTTAAAATTAAATCTTAAATCATTGAACCAACATAGCAAATGTTAATATGACTTGATTCTAACAAAGCACATAAATAAAATAAATATTTATAAATAAATTACTAAATAAAAACTAAGGGATATAAAATCATCAAATAATCAAATAAATAATTTTAAGGACTTATCAGAACAATTAACAAACATAGATATACAGTTCACGAGAGTAAATAACCAAATGCAGCTGAAGTCATGAAACCAACGTAGACACGTAGTCCACGAGGGTAATGCTAACCAAACGTGACTTGAAGCCACGAAACAAACGTGAGTATGATGCTCACAAATAATCATTCCTGCGTTCCATGTGCGTTAGCCATCGCACGGGGCTAGCACCTCCTATAAGCACCCTGCTAGCTAGGTATACTATGACGCACCAAGGGCTAACGGAACTGCCATTAGCAAATAGAGTTCTGTATAAAGTCCCTTTTTAAATTTATCTTCAAACATATGAGAAAATCACCACTTTCAACATAAAATTTCTATTTTTAATGTTAAACTCACATGAATTATTTTTCCATAGCAATTCAAAAATTTTTAAAATGCAATTCCACAATCAAAGTTCAAACTTGTATTTATTGAATAATTAACATTTCAAAAGTGATAAAGGTCATTTCATAAAATAAAAAAATTTAATCACCAAATTATCCAATACTCACATTATTGTTATAAAATGATTTGCACAAAACTGTAATATTTTAGTTAAAAAAATTTATTAGACAATCAGTTGGGACACTATCCACTTACCTGAGACAATCCTAACACTATGATTTATCCCTTAGCATTCCTCACAAGATTTATTCCTGAAACATCCAATATAATAATAACTGAACCTCTAAAATTTTATAAAAACTCATAGTTGTTCATTCACTTAATCATTATAATATATTCTCGCATTGCTCTTGGACCCCAATCTTTTAATTTCCATTCCAAAGAAATTCATATCCTCCGCATTCCTTTCTAGTGCACGAGTCATAATAATCTACTGACACGTTTTAACTAAATAATACCATTGTTTACACTTGCACGCTTCCCACAACTTTGTAACTTGAAACCATAGCATTTTATTTTACATACATGGAGGTTTAAATAACTACAATAAGCTATAGGTCCAAAATGAATAATTAAATAAAACAACATTTATCAACCCCATATTCCTTTTCAACATTTATATGTAAACAAAGTCCTTGATCTCAATTTCTTAAAAAAAAATGTAAGATCTTCTATACACAAATTTAGTCATTGCATGGATTATTTTAAGTGTCATGAATAAAATTTTATGGTCTACATTACAAAAGTAAGGCAACTAGACAGCTCTCACGTATGCACTAAAAGTCAATCACCACATTCATAATCCTAAATATACATAGAGACACAAATGCACACACATGCAAGCACACACTAATTACATACGCCCTAAGAATTTCTATGAAGCTCTAAGCAAGTAGGTTAATAAAGTGGGTCTAGAAGACAACCCCCATCATAATTTTATAAATATTTAGTTAATGATTCATTACCCAAATATCATCATTTATATTACAATTTCTTCATAATACTTTATCCGTAGTCACTTATTATATTGGGACATGATTCTCTCTCAATCCTTAAATCAAACACCTTGTGTGCACAACCTACAAGCCATTCAATACAACTTGTTTAGCTTCAATCTCCTACCCAACAAATTCCATATATCTACCATTAAATTCATCATGCTTTTCCAATACAATTCCCCATAAAAAATATCAATTAAAGGTTAGCAAAAATTTCAATTCCAAACAGCACAGTTTCAGTCGAATAAGCAAGTAGGGAAAGAAAATATATATATACACGCACCACATAAAATCATCAGAGATGAAGATAGAAGAATGAGCTCCCTCACCAGCTGTCACACCCCAAAATTTGAACATACTTGGCATAGAATATAGAGATAATACCCATATCCTAAAAAAGTCTTTACTCAAGAAAACTATAATTTCTAAACCATGAAGACATTTTATAATAAATTAAACCATCTTCAATACAACCCATATGAACAAAAGATTTAATATTTTTGTAAAAATTTTGATAGGATTTCCCTTTAAAATAAAATCTCCCCAAAAACAAATCTACAAATATTTTAAAAAATAATAGTAGCAGCAAGGAATTCTCTTCTGATCAACAAATAACAAAGTATAAGTAATAAGGGTGAGGACCCTAACTATAGCTTATGTGGAGCACCTGACAAAAGAAGTTTACAAATCAAAATACATGAATTTAAATTTACTTTAAAGAAGTTTGATTACAGCTTTTCGTCTCAACTGAATATTACAGCCTCTCAAGGATTAGCGAAAGGCACAATATCATCTAACGTATCTGAGACCAAAATAATAATTTTTAGTGAATAACGTTCCAATAATAAATATTTGAACATGAGTAAAAAGGAAAAGTTTAAAAATAATTGTGTGATTCGAAGAGGCAACAGCTTTCATAAAAATTTAATACTTTAAAATAGAATAGCTCTATAAAATTTTAAAATTAAGTCTTAAATCATTGAACTATCATGAAAAATGTTACTAGGACTTGATTCCAAGAAAGCACATAAATGAAATAAATATTTATAAACAAATTATTGAATAACATCAATAGAATATAAAATTATCAAATAATTGGACTCATAATTATAGGGACTTATCAAAATAATTAATAAATGTGAACACATAGTCTACGAGAGTAAATAGCCAAATGTGACTTATGCCATGAAAACAAACGTGGACACACAGTCCACGAGGGTAAATAACTAAATGTGGCTTGAAGCCATGAAACCAATGTGGACACACAGTCCACGAGGGTAATGCTAACCAAACGTGACTTAAAGCCATGAAACAAATGTGAGTATGATACTCACGGATAACCATCCCTCCGTTCCACATACGTTGGCCATCGCATGGGGCTAACACCTCCTATGAACACTCTACTAGCTAGGTGTACCATGGCGCCCCAAGGGCTAACGGAACTGCCGTTAGCAACCAGTGTTTTGTATAAAGTCCCTTTTCAAAATTATTTTCAAACATGCGAGAAAATCATTACTCTTAATATATAGTTCTCATTCTAAAAATCAAACTCGCATGAATACTTTTAAGCATTAATGCCAGAATAAAATTTTATATCCAATGCTCATGCTTGCATTTATTGAATAATAAAAAATTGCCAATGCTAATGAAAATGAGTTTTATTAATCCTAAAAAGATATCTCATAAGGGGTAAAACTTTTATATATTATGATGAATCATTTTTCACCACCATCTTAAAACTTAAAAATGAAGAAATTTAATTAACAAAGTATCCACTAATCAACATAATTATTATTAAAATAATTAATGTAACAAAATAAATTTCAGTAAGAAAAATTAATTGATAAATTAGTTAGGATGCTATCCACTTACCTATAATATTCCCAAATGCAAAATTCGCCCTTTAAAGCTTCAATCCTCCCTTATTACCTCAATCAAGATTTTCTTTCTCTAAATCCCCCATTCAATAATGCAAAATTTTAATGACCTTTGGCCACGTTTAATAAATTCCTTTCTCATAACAATACTATAGTCTCTCAGTTCTTAAATCCATCCGATATATAACTAAGTCCTTCAGTCCTTATGGTACTTTATATATATATATATATATATATTCACAACTTTGTCTATACTACACTTGTCTTTCCAACTCCCCTTAAGCACAAGTAGTTAAATTTTAACCAAGGTATGTATATTACATGAGTGCACACCCAACTAAAAAAAGCTTCTACAACCCACTTTGCCGAACACCTTAAGTGTCTCCCAAAATGCGTAAATACCATAATTTATAAATCACCAACAGTGCCATTTCCAAAATTCAGTTAACCACCCAATCACTATATAATCAAAATTCTCCACAAGACTAAATTGACTTAGATAGAGCCCAAACCATTTGCACCATCATATGAATTGATCGAACTCACAAATTACGTAATTAAATAAAAACTCTTTTTAATAGACACTTTTGTCATACGCTTATACACATTAATTCTTAAACTCAAATCAAACATTTTCCTCCTTGATTCCAACTCCCAAACATTTACAAAGAAATATTTTGAATCAATTAACCTCTAAAATTTCATAAAAGATAATTGTCTTTTAATGATAATTTATTTAAATAGCAATATAATCATTATATATATATATATATATAGATAGATAGATATCAAGAATCAAGCCATTATATAGCAAGGCTCTTCTTAAACATTCTATCAAACACTTTGTGAGCATTTGAATCTCAACTATAACCAAATTTCGTGCTATCCCATTCTTCTTCTAAAAAATTCTCTAACTTAAACATGCAATCAATCAGCTTAAATCAATTCTCCCTTCTTACACACTTATGAACAGCAGCAACATAATAAAAATTACAACCTTACCATTCAAAACACATGCACCCTTGGACAGAACAAATGAAAAGGAGGAAATAAAAAATCCTCACCTTTGGCCACGATAGCAAAAGCATAAGGAAGGAAAAAAATTGTATGAGGAAGGAGAAAGAGAAGAGACCGACGTACTCTATGACCACCGAAATGGTGACAATTCAAATAGACCAGTGCCAATGATGTTGTTGCTTAAGAAAGGTCTAACAGCAACAACCACAATAGATACGGATAGAGGAGGTGTGAAGGATGACAGAAAGGAAAGGATTTTTGGTAGCCCACATCACTGGTGATGAGACAGAGGAGAGGAAGGCCAACATCACACACACACCAGTATAACTCATGCGATAGACAAACAGGGGAGGAAAGGAGGAAAGTAAATCAGACAGCCTCATCATTTACGATGGAGAAATTTCAACGGCATGAGATGCTAGTTACTGGTGGGGATCAGATAAGCAAGTTGGTGATGTGGAGGAAACTTGTGTAGAAGAAATGGACGCTCTTTCTTGCTGTGCTCTATTTTCTTCGACCAACAGAGGGGGTTTTAAAATATTAAAGCTTACTTGGGGAAAATTACAAGAGACCTAAAAGATATTTTCTTTAATAACACAAAAGTCAAGGATATTTTGGTAATATCATTAATCATCAAAAAAATAAAATTACCTTTAGCAAAGGTAAGATTTAAACCCCAATCCTTTAGGTAGAGACCAACATAATTTCCACCAAGTCACTACTTCCTATTCATCATAAAACTTGAACAATTTAATAAAATATCAATTAGATGGAAAATCATTTAATTTAAAATCCAAAGTCATTACACCAGCCATAGGCAACGACGATGATGGAGGGAGAGGAGTTTGATGTTGAATAGGGGAAGAAGAAAGCATCGTCAAACCGGTCTCCAACCCATGAATTTGTTCTATTACAATATTAAACTAGCTCTGCACATACTCAACATTCACGAACAGAAATAATGGAGGCGAAAAGACATTTAGCGACGAGAGGCAAAGCAGAAAAGGAACTACGAGCATATGGACCAACAATAGCAACCACGCACAACAACTTAGCTCTCTCATCAGCGACAACAAAGAATGAAGAACGAAGAGAAGAGATAAAAAATGGCAGAGGAAATGAAGATCAAATCACACACAAGGTAATAGACACACTACCAGCACCTCAAGATAGTGGTTCACGATGAGCTAAAAAATGGGAGGAATGGAGAGATCTTCTCAAATGTACAGCAGCGAATCAGCGAGCTCCAGCACCTGTCAATGGTGGACGGTCGAAGCAATGACAACCATACTCGTTGGCAGTGGTTGAAGACAGAAGGAAAGAAGGCAAGATGCAGAGGAATCATGAAAGAAGGAAAGAAAAATCAGCAATCTCTCTCCTCTGGACTAGTCTCTCTCAAATGAAGCAGAAGCTTCCCAATCTTACCTCTAAATTTCCCTTTTCTTTTTTTTAATAAACATCAAGGGGCAAAATGGTAATTTAGCCAAGTTATTGGTGAAAATAAAAATTTTCTCCCCTTGCATTGAAAGGGTTCGAATCTAAGACTTGCCTTATGAATGACTAGCTCAATCACCAGTAGGCTAATTCACCTCCTTGATAAATTAATACTTTTATATATATATATATATATATATTTCCTCAAAATACTTTATCATTAATTTGAATTTCAATTAAATTCTAGGTCATTACAGTTTGAATTTTAAAATTTTCATTTTTTTAATAATATTGATCACTTGCAACTATAAAGTAATCTAAAAATGAAATCAAACATTTATAGTATCAAAAAAACATACATTATCACTAGATACAATAAATATTACAATTATAGAAAAATGTTTATTAATTTAATTCATAATCCAATTCAAAAAAAAAACAACTGACTAGTCTGAAAATCAAATAATTTTTCATTAATATAGAGATGAAAAACAAATCTGTAGTCCCTATGCAATGAGATGATAAACAAGATATCATTATTTGCAAATAATATATATTAACTATTTTTCTTCTTAATCTCTTCTCTCTGATGATTGATGATTGGTTATTGATCTCTTCTTGATGTTGTAATAATGAGAATTTCATTCTACTTTGGAAAAGCAACGTGAAGGCCACACTACAAAAAAATTGTTTGTCAGCAGCATTGTGAAATTCTAAAATTATGTGAACTAAGGCGCAGCCTTCCCATGTAGTTATCGAGTACAACTCTACAAACACTAAATAAATTATGACAGAGTTGAGGGACGAAACGAGGGAGACCTTGTTAGTATCAATATTGTAATGACCTAAAATTTACAAAATAATAATAATATAATAACAATAATAATAATAAAATATTCTTCTAATTTATATGTTTAGATAAATTTTATGGTAAATAGAGAATGGTGACTTAGTGAAACTTATACTAATAGTTTATTTATAGATTCAGAGTTTGAATTCTCTTAAGCAATGGGTTAAATTCTATTAGTTTAAAATTTTGGAAAAATTACAAAAGTGTCCGTGTTTGTTATGTTATTATAGGAAAATATTGTGCCCTCTTTTGTAATTTTTACAATTTCCTAATATCCAGATCTTTATTTTCCTCCCTCTCGGTCAGACGCACGCACAGATATAACACCATTTTCTGGATCCTTCGACTGAGGGGTTTTGCCGATGCCGTCTCCCTCCGTTCCTCTTCGATTTTTTCGGTTCGATTTTTCCGGTGAGTTCTCGTTGTTTTGCCTCCAGCCAAGTCTTCCCCATTTTTCCTCTTCTTTTCTTCTCTTTTCGGCGGCGCATACGCGTTCTGGAGCAGAGGAACAGAGTTAGAGATTTTTCTTGGTTCCAGTAGCTTCGAGATCTTTGTCTTCCACCCTCATCCCTGTTACTCGTCCAGTGGCCAGCAACCTTGAGAACGTCGAAATCCTTACTGTGGGTAGTGCACAGTACTTCGTCCAGCTCTCCCCTGTTCCGTATCATTTTTCTTTCTTCAGCATCTGTGTAAATATGTGTAAGTGATCTAGCTTTCCTCTCCTTTCATCTTTATTTTTCGTCTGCCACTAGTGACCACAGAAAAAATCAGAATTTGTCTTCTTTGATTGTGCTGTGCTGTGGTTTTATCGAGCTCCCTCTCCCCTGTATAGCTCATGAAAATTTTCTTCCTCCTTACTGCGTTGTGTGTGTGATTAAGGTTAGAAGTATTGAGCTCTTCTTCCTAATGGTACTAAGTGCGTGAGTGTGTGATGTATTGGTCGAAATTGTAAGCTTTTTCCCTTGCGCTGTTGCTGCCGTGATGAACAGGTAGGGGGATGCTAAATTAAGATAAAAAAAAAATTATTAAGAGTAGGATGAGGATATGTATGGGATTGAGCTTTTGAGTTAAAATGATTTTCTTTTAAATGAGTTGATGTTGAAGAAACGATTGAAATGAGCTTTGGATAAAGAACCAAAATTTAGAAGCTAAATGTTAGTGCCTATAAAATGTTCGATGAAATGTTTATTAGAAAGGGAGTTGCTTGAGTTTGTGTTTTTCAAAGCTTATTAAATCTCTATGGAGATATAACTGACTTGGATGCTAGTATTTTGTGAATTAAGCTTGGTATTGTGTAGAAATTGGTTTGTGTAAGCTATTTGTAAACTATTTGAATTCTTGGGAATGGTATGGTTAGCAATAACTTGTGGACAAGAGATTAAATATTAGAAAGTGTTAATTGAGTGATTAGAAATAATGTATCTAAGATGTTGGATGTAAAGCTAGAGAGAGTTTTATATTTCAAGTAAATAAATTGGCATGGTTAAAGCGACATGGAGAAAATTAGTGATATAAATGATGACAACGGGACAAAAACTTAAGATATGAATTTCAGTTTTGGAATTTTAAATAGTGGAAGTTAATTGGGATTGTGTTAGAAGTAGAAAGAAACCTTTGTAATTTATAGAAGGTGTAATAAAGTCTTATATATCATATATTATAGGATGTTTGAAAAGAGGGAAGCTCAAATAGAGTCATAAGAAATGAGTTTGGAGCCTTGAGGATATTACAGATAAGTGGATAGCGTCCCAACTAATTTTTTTCAATTAAAATTTTCTTTACTAAAATATTACATTTTTTTGAAAATCATTTTAATAGTATTAATGCGATTATTAGATATTTGTTGATTAACATTGCTTTATTTTGAGAAATTAGCTTTACCAAATTTGAAATGTTAGTTGATCAATTAAATCAAGTTTGAACTTTGATTATGAGATTTTTATTCTATCAAATATTGGAGAGATATAGAGAATGATTCATGTGAGTTTGAAGTTGAAATTTTTTTTATTCAATAAATGCAAGCATGAGCATTGAATATGAAATTTGATTCTGGCATGTTTTAATGCTTAAACGTATTCATGCGAGTTTGATTTTGAGAATGAAAACTGTATCTTGAAAGTGATGATTTTCTCGCATGTTTGAAAAATGATTTTAAAAAGGGACTTTGTACAGAACACTGATTGCTAACGGCAGTTCCGTTAGCCCTTGGCGCGCCATGGTACACCTAGCTAGCAGGGTGTTTATAGGAGGTGCTAACCCCGTGCGATGGCCAACGCACGTGGAACGGAAGGATGGTTATTCGTGAGCATCGTACTCACATTTGTTTTCGTGGCATAAGTCGCGTTTGGTTACTTACCCTCGTGGATTGTGTGTCCATGTTTGTTTCGTGGCTTCGGCCGCGTTTGGTTATTTGCTCTCGTGGATTGTGTGTCCACGTTTGTTTTCGTGGTATAAGCCGCGTTTGGTTATTTATCCTCGTGGACTGTGTGTCCACATTTGTTAATTGTTCTGATAAGTCCTTATAATTATGGATTCAATTATTTGATGATTTTATATTTCATTAATTTTTATTCAGTAATTTGTTTATAAATATTTATTTCATTTACGTGTTTTTTTTAAAAATCAAGTGATATTATCAGTTGCTACGATAGTTCAATGATTTGAGATTTTCTTTGAATTTTTATAGAGACATTTTATTATGAAGTTTATTGAATTTTTACGGAAATTTTTGTTTCTTTAACTTACATATCCATTTTGAACTTTTCATTTTATTTATGTTTTATTATTTATTGTTGGGACGTTATTCACTGAAAAATAAATTTTGGCCTCAGGTAGTATAAATTGGGCTTGTATATCAAGGTGTTACTTGAGGCATTTTATCACTAAAGTGGAGTGGAAGAATTATTTCGAACAAGTTTTGCTTGATGAAAATTTGAACCCTGTATTAATTTCATGGCCTGGTCCTAATTACTCCACGTATAATGTAGGTAGGATTCTCGTCTTTCTTTAAAGACTGTATATATTTTAGTAGGGAGCGAGATCTTTTTATTTGATTATTATTGTTCTTTGTCATACATTTAGGAAGTCTTATTTATATGAAAGTTTTCTAAAAAAAAATTTATAAAAAAAATAAAAATAAAAATATGCCTATAGTTTTGCATGGACCAAAGTATATTTATTCAAGGCTTAAGAGATATGGGTTTTATTCACATATTCCGTGCCGGTCATGCCTTAAATTTTTGGGGCGTGACAAATATATATTATATAACATATATAGCAAGTAATATTAGATATTTATAAGGCTACAATACAATACAACTCACTTTATACTTTTTGCAGAATAACGTGCCATCTAGATCTCAATGATAGACCTTTAAATCTTTTTCACAAATATGAAACAATAACAAATATGGTACAACTAAACAAAAACTTTTATTTAACTCATTACAGCTAGCACAATTAGAAAGTGTAATAACAACATCAGTATACTAAATGATTAATTATCAACCATCTCAACTTCACTCTATTTCAGAAATGATAGATAACTCTGGGTTTAATTGCATTACTCCATTAACAGCCCTTGTTCTAGTAGGACGTGCAGAGCCAAATGGATTAGGAGGCAAAACTAGCTTTTCACAATCTCCTTCCAACATCTGAACCACAGCTTTCATGGTTGGACGATTTATTGGATGCCATTGAATGGACCATAGTCCCACAATCGATAGCTTTCTTGCAATTTTACTGTCCTCCTCTCCTTCTATATGGATTTGTATGTCTTCATTGTTCTCTAGAAGATTATAAATCCATTGAGGATAGTATACTTCATTGCTGTTTTCTATGGTAACATCCTTGATTTTTCTTCCCCCAACCATTTCAAGTAGCAACATCCCATAACTATAAACATCTGATTTATAGCAGACATTGCTGAAGTTTCTAGAAAAGATCTCAGGTGCAATATAGCCTAAAGTGCCCCTTGCTTTTGTCATAGACACAGTGCTTTGATCCTTGGAACAAAGCTTGGCCAAACCGAAATCAGATATTTTAGGTGTGAATTTGTCATCTAAAAGAATGTTGTGAGGTTTAATGTCAAAGTGGAGAATTCTTTTGTCACAATCTTCATGAAGATACTCAATTCCTTTGGCAATACCAATAGCAATATCAAGAAGCTTTGACCAACGTAGAAAAAAAGCCCTTTCTGTCAGCTGAAGTTATGAATTTCTGCAATGAACCATTAGGTAAAAATTCATAAACCAAAGCTTGTGTAGATCCATCAGCACAGAAGCCAACCAAACGAACCACATTGACATGGTGAACTCGACACATTGTTTCCATTTCATTAATGAACTCTTGTCCATTCCCTGTTGAAGCATTTAGGAGCTTAACAGTGACCTGAATTTCATTAGATAGCTTCCCTTTATAGACAGTTCCAAAAGCTCCTTCTCCGAGTTCATCCTTGAATTGATTTGTGATTCTCTTTATGTCAGTGTACAAGTATCTAGCAGGCCTAAGTGCGTTGTAATCTTCTAAAAACTGTTCAATTTTCTTGCGGCCTTGCCTCTCCTAGCTACCTTCATAGATATTATAAGAAACAATAACTCCAACAAATATGAACAGAAACGGGCCTAGGATTTCACCTGCAAATACAGAAAAATATCGATTAGTAATAATCTTATCTGGTTGCTTTAATCTTAAACATCTGAATTGAATCCTCAGCCGAAGAACCTTACCGGTAATTTTCCATTTTGATGGACTTCCTAAAACATAAATGCAGATATATATATATATATATATATAAGCTTCAGAAATAGAACTAAAATTCACAGTTTCAAAAAGATATTGTAATTGGAGAAATTTTTTTCACCTGTATCATGGCTGTGGTTACATTCAGGTAAACAATTCGCACTATCTTCAATGTAGCTTTTGCAATCTGGTATGGGCCATGATAGAATTAGAAACTCACTGATATTGTATAGAGAACTGGGACTAATTCATAGCCATTAATTCTTGTGCAAGATAAAAGAGAATTGTTCACGATTCTATGTGTATATGGTACAGCTAAAACTTCACAGCCAGCAACGTCGAGGCAAGAAAAGTTTCCCCATTGTTGAAATCGTCCGCTATTTGAATTCGTTCGAGATGTCCCAGAACAATTGAACAAAGCATATTGGCCTGACGACTCAGTATCGACCGCCCGAAAAGGAGAAGAGTATAAATTGAATTGAGCAGGCATCCTCCAAGGTTAGACACAGTTAAAATCTGTGATTCATAGTCTATGAACTGCACCAAAACCTTAACAAACAAAGGCAGCTCGAGCACTGTCTGGTTTGTTTCAGTACAGTATAGATCAAAGTAAGCACTATAGCCACATCGTTCTAGCTGTTTTCCTTTGAACCTAAACGGAAATCTTATCTCTGGTCCATCAACATCGCACCTTGATGATTCTTTGCATGCATCAGGGAAGTCATCAGGTTTTGCTGAAATTATTACGAAGCTGAAGAATAATAAAGGGACTCCTTTTTTGAAGAGAATGGCCATTCGATCGTGCCTGAGGTTGACATGAAAGTGCTGTTTCATGTTTCTTTTTGGTCTACAGGAAAATCTATAAGTACGATGCTTATACTTTGAAATCTAATTAAGATACAAATATGTGAAAGTGAAAGTATATAAAATGGAAAGAAACAACACTCCAATTATAATAACAGCCGGCCCGCCGGCCACGTTTTGGAGGATCCTTCGTTCCTATTTGCGGGAAAATTTTGAGGATAAATAATAGCATGAATGAGACAACCCCACCGCCACTATTGAAACGTATATAATTTAATGTTACTAAAGAAGACTTGAGTGGTTTAAAAATGTAGCCCATTGTAAACGATTATGGGAGAGACAAGTAATGTAACGTAAGGATCATACATGCGGCAATGGCGTGGATGCTTCGAGGATTGAGACTTATAATTAGTGGAAAAAAAATAAATGCATGATATCAAGCTATCGATATTGTATTGACTCGGACAAATTCTCAAGACTTTCATGACATAGTCCTGGAGTGCTGTTAGAGCTGCTCTACGCATGCCGTGGAAGTTAGTGTTCCCCATTTTCTTGTTTAAATCATGAAAAGTTACATAGTATCAATGGTAATTTAATAATTTAAATTTGATTTCTAGTATTTGTTAATTCATCCTAACTTATTATTCTCAGTGATCTTATTTATAAAACACTGGAATGTGGCGGGTGTTGTGGTTCTTTTTGTACGGCACCATATTGATAATTTATTACAATTTTCTCTTTTACACCTCTATTCAACGTTAAATTAAATAGGATAGTAGGAAACTTTTTTAAGGATGTATTTAATATGGAACACAAAAAAGAAAATTTTTCCAATTTTTAGATAGAATTAATAAATTATAAAATTTTCCTTATAACAAAAATTCAAGAAGCAACTTATATGGGATAGAAAGAAGTATACTTTTTTTTTTCTTTGGTTATTTTAGGTCCTCAAGTAGTAGTGTATAATTTTTCCTCATCATTTTATTACAGTTGCTTGCCATTTTTTATTCTCTTCAGTTTTCACTGTATTGTCCTTAATTTATGCATGAATGTATTATGGCTTGCCATAAGCAGACTACAGAAGCAGTGAAGAATCAAATAGAGATACAAGAACATATGAGCAAATTATATGTAGATGTGTCAGACAAATTCTCTTTCCCATTAACAATGACCTGACCTACTCGATCTTCAAAGAGATTAGAATACACGGCAGGGAAATTTCAAGGAAACAATCTAACGAATTAAATATGATATGAATATAATATAATAAGTCAGGTTGTGGAAATTTAAACTTGCAATTTTTCAAAGGTTTCCCCATTGGATGGGACATGTATAATTGAACCTTGCAGGTGGCAACAAAAGCCGTGGGGCCTTGCAAACCGCGTCACAGAAATAGAATGGCCAATCAGCCATGTTTGCCAAGCAATTAATAAAGAAAAGGGATCATGAAGGGAAAATAACATTATAAGTATTGATGGCGTGTAGTTATGAAACTTAATAAACTTAATTCACTGATAAATATTAAACTTTATGGATAATTGATAACTAAGATAAATTTATGAAGGGTATTGACTGATGTTTGTTTGTTTGTGGTTCAGGTTTGGGCAGGTTGTATTTGTATGAAGATGCCTCGAAGTCACCCCCTATATAGAGCACAAATTAGGTTGATGTACTCTTCCTCCATGAGAGTACCCAAAGTGAACAACTTCAACATATCATTTCATTATTTATGAATATCCATCACCATCACTCATTTATAACATAAAAATATCTAAACTCATTGTCTTTATCTGTGCATTAGAAATAAAGTCAAATTATCACTTTATAAGCACCATTATTATATTGTTTTGGCTTAAATATTGAAAATGCAAACCATACTTCTTAAAGAAAATTAGCCATTAACCTAATTTGCACATAGGGGGTGAGAATTAAGCTTCAAGAAAAATGTTTCCCACTCTGTAAAGGCATCATATACAACCTTCTTCTACTTCATCTATTTTTCTTCTACTCTTTAGAGAACCATTATATTGCCTCCAACAATTTCCAGACTTAATTTTGTTGAAATAATGGCTTTGGAGGAGTTGACTACAAACTTTGTGAAGTAGATGGAAATATTTGAAGGAGGTAACTTAATGAAATGGCAAAGGAAGATGAAATTTATATATTCTTACAACTTTGAACATGGCTTACATATGCCTTCACCACGCTCCCAAGCCCCAAGAAACAGAAGAAGAAACCATATATCGCCAAAGTTAGAGAAAGGCAAAAGTAAGAGAATGATGAATATATTTGCACTAGACACATCCTTGATGGGCTCAATGATGCTCTCTTTTATGTTTATCAACATTCAACCTTTGCAAAGGAACTCTGGAATAAACTAGAGACGAGGTACATGCAAGAGGATGTAACAAGTAAGAAATTTCTTTTTACACATTTCAATAATTATAGAATAATTCATAGAAGATTTGTTATGGAACAAATTCATGAAATGATACATTTTGAATAACTTCAAACAACATAAAATGCATATGGATAAATCTATATTGTCTCCTCATTCATAGATAAGCTTTCTCCTTCATGAAAAAACTTCAAAAAGAGTCTTAAGCATGAAAAAGAAGATATCTCTTTCAACCAAATGGATTCCACATAAAGAAAGATGATGCAAAAGACATGCATCAATGCTCATGTGAGAGCAGTACATTTGGTGGAAGGGTAGTTTGATTATTTTAATGCCTTTTGCGTTGGGTTATTGGGCAGTCTCATGGAGGAAGAGTACATCAATGCAAAAGACAACTTGATCATAAAGGTTGTTTTAAATTTTTGAAGAAAATATATCTTAATAATTTTCAAGTGTTAAAAAACCAAATAACCTTAATTCAGACATTCATTGAACGAGTAAATTGAGACTAGTCGCCGGGTCCAAAACTATTAATAGTGATCAATGTCTCTAACTTTTTTCCTTTCTTGGTTTTTTAAATAGAATTGGATTTGATAAATATCTTAAGTCCACTCACTATTTGGTTGAATTGAATGGCTGTAAGAGATTTTGTTATATAATACTTATCAAGTGCCAAATCTCATATTTTTAGAAGAGAAAGTATATATAAGAAGTGCTTTAATCATGATGATTGTTTTGGATTTTTGGAGAAAAATGAATCTTGATAATTTTTAAGTATTGATGAAATCTGATAATTATAACTGAGACAATGACTAAGTAAAATTAGGCCAGTTGTAGTCCAAATCTTTTTTAAACTCAACTAACTTTATAAACTCCTCGTTAATTTAGACGCTTCACGTCATTAGCTTTAACTACATCATAGAAGCTCCGCGTATGCGTACCTTGTACAGACCTCCGAAGATCTTCTTCATGTCGGGGGCCACAAATTTTCTGATCTATGTCACAGTTGGTGCATGTATGACCATCTATATTCTGATATTCTCTTTCTTCTCAGTTTCCGACGTCGAAGTCAACACCACCACCGACGTCATCTGTGGTACCATATTTGGCCAGAACAGAGTTGCCGACGACCAATCTATATGTGGATATCCCAGTTACGTCCTGGACTGCGTGGAAAACAAAACAGTTCTCTCCATGAACTTTAACAAGTACCAATATATTGACGCCATGATCGCCGGCGGCAATTCCACCTTCGGATCCCTCACGGCCGGCCGTTTCCGTAATGATACCAATACCAATTGTCCTTCCCTCACTATTTCATCTGTGTCTTACGCAAATTGGAACCACAGATTTGAATCATCGTTCGTCGATAGTTATTCTAGTGGATTGATTTTCTTGAGCTGTGATCGTCCACTTAGTTTTGATCAATCTTCTCTCTTGGTGGAGATAGCAGCATATTGTCCAGTGTTGGTGCACACTACTCTTATGCATTGCCTTGGAACGCCACAGTCTCTGACTTGCGAGAGTCTTGCAGCGTTGACTTTGTTGTGCATGCAACTTTCTTGCCCAAGAAGACAAGAAATTATATGACAAACTGTTCCGATTCTGAGATTCAGATTCTGCAGGTGAAGGGGATTGAGCTTAGATTGCAATTGATGAACGATGATCGTGAATTCTCCAACAACTCTCAGTCCAATCCTCCTCCCTTTCGGAAGATCAAATCAAGACTGTTTTCAGGTCAGTTTCATTCAGATGATTAATTAATTAGTGACTAACAAAGATTCCAGCTTAATCATGATTTCCAAAGTGTTAAAATTACGGTTTGAGTTTGCTAGATAAAGTTTTTTTTTTTGGAAGATTATAATTGTTCTTTGGAAAAATTACCTATATATCCTATATAAGGGACTTATGTATAAATGCGTCCCGCAAATTTGGAAAAAACACAATCAAGTCTTTTGGGACCTAAGTTTAATTGAAATTTTAAGTGATAAGACCTTTGTGCCCTTGCTTTCTCAAAAAAAAAAAAAAACCAATAAACTGAGGTCATATTTACCCTTCACTTATAACTATAACTTTATAATTTACAAATAAAAATTCTCAATTCATAAGTCACATTTAATATTTTATAAATAATATATTGAGGTCATATTTACCCTTCACTTATAACTATTTCACAATTTACAAGTAATAATTTTTAATTCACAGGTCATATTTCATGTTTTATAAATATAACTGCATCATTTTTAACAAGGAGGAAAATATTATCTTTACTTTCAACCATAAATTATACTCAAGTTTTAAAAAAATTTTATTGTAGTTTCTAAATTTTGTAGGATTTTTATGTATTCAGAATCTATACATAATTTTTCCTTGTAGTTTCAATTTCGACCCAATATTTGAGAACCATGAACCCAATTTAATTTCCTAGTTAACTTTTTATGCGGAATTGAAATTAAAAACTTAATTTGTCATTTTGAATTAGAATAATATTCTCTTAATATTGTTAAATTTAAAGGAAAAAATTGATAGTTGACCCTCCTACGCTAAAAAGTACTTGCATGCATGAGGCCTGCTTGCACATATAGCCCATATTGATCCATATAGGGCTTGCATGAAAGGTTGGGTATTGTCCAAAGTACTTTAGACCTACTGACGAGGAATATATTACTTTATTAAATGGGACCAACGAGGGACCAATTGCATTATGTAAAATATAATCCAATCTTTTATATAACACATTATAGAATAGTTTTATAATACAAAATATAAATTGATTTGTAAGAGTTTGTGAAGCATTAATTATTTTTTTAAAAAAATCATTCTAGTCAGTTCTAATAATGAAGTTTAAAGAGAATATACATATTTTCCACATGTTTTTTTTATTAGGGATAATGATCGAAACGGAAGCAATTTTTGGATATTAAATTTAACTGTAACATTTTTTTTTTTTAGTGAGATAATTGAAAATGAATTAAATTTTAAGCATAGGAGAATGTATTTTATTGTTTATATATATATATATATATATAGATAGATATATTATTGCAGTCATTATTCTGTGCAAACCAAAATATAACTTATCACCATTTTTTATTATATATTTTCTACTAATTTATTGTTTCTAGGTGTACATGTCTTTTTTTAAAACAAATTTAAGTATCTTATGCAGATGCATGGGAACTTTTCTTCAATTCAAAGCCATAAAAATAGACTGATTAATTATAACTTCCTCCGATAAATTTAATCTCAAAATGTTCAAGAGGCGAACTATTTGGTTCTGACTATTCAAAGGTGTTGTATCGTTAGTTTGCATTTCCCAAACGATGATATTATGTGTTAATTTTCTTTATCTTTTGATAATTAATTTCGGATTTCTTTTTCTTGCAATCTTTTCACAGGGGCAAAGTGCGTGGCAAAGTTTTTCCGTAAGACCACTTGTCCCTCTCTGACTATTGTGTATATTAGAAATTAACGCGTGAAAGACAGGTAGTTTCCACATAAAAAAAGGCGTAATAATTTATTATTATTAGTTTCTGACAATTTTTTTTAAAATAAATTGTAAATATTAATTTAAACAATTACAAATTTCAGAAATCTCAATTGCAAATAAGGTATTTAAATGTAAAATGTAACTCTTAATTTGCAACTAAGATGGATCTATTTGCATATAACTAAATGATATTTATAATCATTTATTTATGGCTTACAAAGTTTTATTATTTTCCACTCTAAGGATTTTCTATTTACAAAGGTTTGTCAAGGTTTCTTCACTTTTTGATGGCAAGAACGTTTTTCTCACGCCAACATAATATTGTTAATTTAATCGGAAAGATGCAACAAAAGACGTACTATGCACACACATGCGTCAATGCACACACTATTTGCCACTTGGTTTTTAATTATATATATATATATATATATAAACATAATATGTGTTCACAATTCTGTCCACAGTGATTCCATGGTTTGCTGTTAAACTTGCACTTGGATTCCCCCTTGTGACTATAATCTTGATACAAAAATGGAGAAAAGGAAATTCAGCTGAATACGATGAGGTTGAAGAATTTCTTCAAAGTCACAATTACATGATGCCCATAAGATACTCCTACTCAGATGTGAAAAAGATGACCAATGGTTTTAAGCACAAGTTAGGTGAAGGTGGTTATGGTTCAGTCTACAAGGGAAGACTTCGAAGCAGAGAGTATGTAGCCGTGAAGTTATTGACAAAGCTCAAAACCAATGGACATGAATTCATCAGTGAAGTTTCCACCATTGGAAGTATTCATCACGCTAATGTGGTCCGTCTAATTGGATTTTGTGCCGAAAGAACAAAGAAAGCACTTGTCTATGAGTTCATGTCCAATGGCTCTCTTGACAGATACATACTTGAAAAACAAGGAGACTTAATGCTTGATTATCAGAAGATGTATGAGATTTCCTTAGGAGCAGCACGTGGAATTGAATATTTGCATCGAGGTTGCCATATGCAAATTTTACATTTTGACATCAAACCTCACAACATTCTACTTGATGACAATTTTGTTCCAAAAATTTCAGACTTTGGGATGGCAAGAATGTGTCCACTAGATAAAAGTATTCTATCACTATCCACAGTTGGAGGAACACTAGGATACATGGCTCCTGAATTGTTGTACAAAAATATTGGAGGTATCTCACACAAAGCAGATGTTTACAGTTTCGGGATGATGATGATGGAAATGGCAGGAAGAAGAAAGAACCATAATGTGGTGGAGAATTCTTGGCAAACTTATTTTGCCAAATGGGTTCATGACCAGTTTGAGGAATCAATACTGAAGAGCAATGCCTCAAATGAAGACAAGAAAATCGCAATAAAAATGATTGCTATAGCATTGAATTGTATTGAGATGAGGCCATGTGATCGTCCATCGATGAGCAAAGTAATTGACATGCTTCAAGGACATGTTGAGCCAGAAAACATTCTACCATATATATGAGCCTTTAGGCTTCGCAAGAGCCCAAAAATACTCGTCATGGCTAATGGCTAGGCAACTCATTGTCAACAGAGGTTAATCCATGATGTGATTAATTTAGTTTATCTTCGTTAGTCTTTAAATCTGTTGTCTCTATATTGATCAGGCATCAGCTAACTTTGATCATGTATCTAGATAAATATATGTATGTACAGTTATTCAGGATGACACTAATTAAGGTGCAGATATAGTCTCTTTTTCTGATGATGATCTGTCTGATAGTTACATCATCAACGTAGCCATAGCATTGCCGGGTCATATGCAGCGATTTCACTCCTATGTGGAGCATGCCCAAGTTTTGGCGTTGGACTTCATTAATATTATGAATAAACTGGTTTCCAAATTTGGCCTATCTTGAACAAACCCAACTCCCTCCCGAAAAAAATGAGTCCCTCACGTTGTGCTTTATTTATTTCTTTCTTTTTTAAATTTCTGAGTATGTTTTTTATACCCAGATAATTATATTTATTTTCATTAATCTACGTAGCTCCTTTCAATATATTTCCCTATCTATGTGACCATGTCAACAGATTTTAACAGTATTACCTCCTCTTTAAATAATAAGGATCAAGTTAATAATATAAGGTGAACTTAGGTAACTAAATTGATAAAACCTGATGAACTAAATCGATAAATGAGTGAAATTTGAAGGAACAAAAATTTATCCCTAAATTAAAGGTAACATTTAAATTGTTTGATATTTCATAATAGAAGGCGTTGTACATAAAAATAATTTATTAATTTATATTATTCTAAAATTACCCTTGGGAAATGACAATTAGGGACTCCATAAGAATATTAATGACAATCACATACCTTAAATTATTGAAATCCTAATAACAAGCTATGGTCCTTACTTATAATAAATTATCTTTTATTGATTGGTTTGAAATTTACATCAGACTTAGAAAATTCTCAACTAACACTTCAATGATTTTTAATTATCTTTTATTAATTTTTCGAGTGAAAAAAAAATCACAAGGGATTGGTTTGTGATTCACAAATGACTCTTTTAAATTTTTAATTGATATTACAAATAATCCAAAGTGTATTTAATAGATTTTTAAGTGACTTATTTATATATTGACAGATTAAAAAAAAAGTGATTAAATTGCAATTTATAATTGACTCTTGTAAATTCCTAACTAATGTTACAAATAAACCCAAATGTATTTACTTGAGTTTCCGAGTGGTCATTATCATAGTGATAGCAAAAAATAATCTCACATGTATTTAGTAAATTCCCAAATGACTACTTATATTTGTTTAATTACAAGTAATGATCATGGTCTATTATTAAAATTTTAATCATTCAGGGTCTATAATTATCATTAATGTTCTTATGGGGTCTCTAATTATCATTTTCCCCTTACCCTTCATCATTTCACTCTTTAATTATTTTTTCCATTTCTATCTCTTAATAAATGAAAGATAGTTTTAAAAGTTTTTGTTTTTTAGAAAAATTAAGAATGTAAATTATATTTAATTATTTTTTATTTAATTTCTCATTGGTATCCTCCTATTGGAGGCAAAATTATTCAAAGCATAGTCAGGCATCGAATGTGAGCACTTCCCTTAATAGAGATTCAAACCCTGATTTTCACTTTATGAAAAACTAGCTCTTTTTGTTAGACTCCACGTTCTTTGTTGATTTTGCAAGAAAAACTTTTCACATTAATTATTTTAGATTTTTTACATTAGTTATTAGGGGTAAGCAAAAAAGACCAAAGTGAAAAGTTGATTTTTCATGTCGGTTTAATAACCGACATGGAAAAAAAACTTAAAATATAGGTTAAATAAATAATTGATGTGAAAAGTTTCACATTGGTTACTCTTAAAAAATTAATGTGAAAAGTTAACTTTTCACATCAGTTTTCTTAAAAAACTGATCTTGTAAGTCTATATTTTTAAAAATATTTTGTTTGTTTCTCCTTATTTATAAGACCTACCAAAAATATATAATTAATAAAAGATCAATAGTAATGTTAACTAAATCAACCTAACAATTTAAATACTCAAATTTACCTATACAACATTAAAGACTTCAATTTAATAAAAATGACTAATTTAAAATAAGGCTTTATTTAATTTTAAAATAATTTTAATAGAATTTTTCCTATTTTTAAGACCTCCCAAAATACATAATTAATTTAGCATCAATAACAATGTTAACTAAACCAACCAAGGAATCTAAATACCCAAATTCATCTATACAAATATCTAACTATTATAAATAAAAATGTGAGAATTAAAACAAAGATTTGAAGGTATAAATTCATCTATTAAATACCTAACTATAAACATATTTAATTTAATCAACCAATCACAATACTAATAGGCAATAAAAATTAAAAAAATAAATAATAAATAAAGATTTATTACAGTAGAAGAACTAGCAAAAACTCTTTAATGAAAGAGGAAGATGAAAGAAGATGAGTGTCACACCCCGAAAATCAAGGGTGACCAACACGGGATGTGAACTACATCACATATCCCTCAAACCTTAAATCGAGAGACTTTTTAATTACTAAACATAATTATATTTATATTCATTATATATACGCACAACCATCTTCATCTTAATAAAAGTTTTAATATCTTTTGTAGAAATTTCGCAAAACCTCTCATATAAATATGATCTCTCGCAAACTCTACAACACAATGTTTTACATAAAAGATCATATTAATCAAGAGCTCAGCTCCTTCTAACCAGTAGATAGAATATGCACAAATAAAAACCTAGCTATAGACTATGTGGAGCACCTAGATATAATTTACAAAATAAAATTTCATAACTCAAATTTTACATAAAAAAAAAAACTTCAACCTTAGGTCCTTCACTTCTAATCAATAATAAATCCCCTTACTATTCATTAGCATCATTAGCAGGAGGTTTAACATTGGCCACACTATCTGGACCAAAATCATTTTCAATGAATAACGTCTCAATAACAAATAATTAAACATGGATAAAAAAAGTTAAAAATAATTATGGAAGTTAAAAAGACAACGATCTCCATAAAAATTTAAATAAATTTGGAATAAAAGATTCTATATAACTTTAAATGAAATCTTGAATCATTAAATTATCATATCAAATATTGTTATAACTTAATTTCAAGGAAGCAAATAAACGAAATAAGTAACTAAAAAAAGGTTATTAATTAAAACCAATGGGATATAAAATCATTAAATAATCAAATTCATATTTATAGGGACTTGTTAAAACAATTAACAAACGTGAACACATAGTCCACGAGAGTAAGTAACCAGATGTGGTTGAAGTCATGAAATAGACGTGGACACACAATCCACGAGGGCAAGTAACTAGACGTGGTCGAAGCCACGAAACAAACGCAGACACACATTCCATGAGGATAAATAACTAGATGTGGTCAATGCCATGAAACAGACGCATGTATGAGACCTACGAATATCAAACATGAGAACAGAGCTCACAAAAATTGAACTAGCTAATCATTCACTATGGCGCGTCAAGGGCTAACGGAACTGTCGTTAGCAACTAATATTCTGTATACAGTCCCTTTTAATCCACTTTCAGACATGCTAGAAAATCATTACTTTCAAAAATATAATTTCTCTCTTCCAAATATCAAACTCGCATGAAAGGTATAAAAACATCGATTTATCTGAATATGAAAATTCATAACAACTATCTCATAAATTGTTCAATTATTTTCATAGTTGACTTTATCAATTAAAGGATTACTAGAATTTGTAAAAGTATTTTTTGTCAATCTAAAAAATATAAGTCATGACTTCAGGAAGCAAAGCAATTTAATTAACAAAAGTAGCTAAAGCAAGAGAAATATATAAATATCTGTTAATTAATAAAAACAATATTTGATAAAAAAAATTTAATATATAAATTGATTGGGACGTTATCCATTTACTTGAAATACCTTCCAAAATTCAAAAATTCACCTCTCAACTTCAATTAAATTTCTCCTTTTCTGAACACCTTATAAATTATATAAAAAGTTTAATAAATTTTTAGTAAATTCAATAATTTACTTCCAACAGTTCACTACCAAAATTTAGCTATAATAACTTGAAATTTTAAGATTAAGGCTTTACACATAAAAATCCCCCAAAAATCATAACTCAATACTCCATTAAAATACAATCTCCTTCTAAACTTTTTGTTTAAACATCGAATGTACATTACTTTCAAATCTCACGGTACAAATACATCCATGAATCTTCACTTGTAACCGTGTAGTTTACTTAATAATATGAAATAGAATCTATGAACATATTACTACAAGATTATTGCCCTCTTTTAACTCAACAGATCAAGCAAAATAACAACTTCATTAGGCTCACAAACGAAAGTTAAGCATTAAAGTGATATCTCAAGAAAAACACTAAGTTAAAAGTATCAAATTCTAAGACCAATTAGAACCCACATACTTAAAATAGGAATTATAAATTCCCCACACAACATTATGGTCCAATAAATATGTCAAGTTAAAATCATATTTATATGTACATCATAGCATTACAAGTCTTCCTCATGAAGAACATAATAAAAAAAATCACCTTTCAAACTAGATCCAAACCATTGTATTCATGAAAGTTCATAGCCATGTGATCCTTTGAAAATGTGAACTCCAATTCACACATGTAGTAACTAGTTTCAAATTATAGATGTAAAATGAAAATTTGAAATTTCAATATCATGTAGCTATGTCAATTAATAAAGCCACCCATTTAAAGCCTTAGATGGGCGAAATCATGTGCATATGCTATTTTCATGACTTTGAGATATAATCATGACACAGATAGTACTTAAGATAGTTCTTGCTTGTAAAAGAAAAGTTTCTATAAAAGATACTTTTAAGATATTATACTTCTCTCGACTATCAAGACCATAATTTGTTTCATGCTTGAACAAACTCAGTAGACATTCATTTGGGCTCACAATAGAACTCATGCATTTAGAATAGTAAAAGCCACTTTGTAACGCAATTAATAAAATCATCATATCAGTTTGAAATAAACCAAGGAATCAGCATATCATATTACACCATCTAATGATAAGGAAAATATCACTAGAGTGAAAACTAGGATTAAGAAATTCCCTAGTACAACAACAACAAGCTTTTATCACACTAGATGGGGTCGGCTAAAAAGAAACTCCCTAGCACATAGTAATTATTTTGTGAAATTGGTTAAGGTATATCAATTGATTGAATGATATTCGGGATACTGTTTTCTTCATTCTATGTAATATTTGGTATTTTACAGATAAGAAACATGAGAACAAAGGTATACACTTATAGTGACTTTAAACATGATCAGGTGATAGAAATCAATCTTTCTATGTAATAAGAGGAAAAGAGAATCAAGGAAGTGTTGATATCAAAGCTAGCGCCATGCTTATGACAAGAAGGGATGGATTTCCTAATAAAAGCAATCAAAACAACTAAGGTATATATCAGAACCTTATGACCAGCAACTCGTTCATTTTTTTCCAGCTTAATTTAGTTCTCCTCCTCCTCACACAGTCATGGGCAATAGCAGATCACAAGAAAAATTTGAAACTTCAACAAAATTGCATCACACACTCACACGCACAGCAAAACCAATAATGGAAGGAAATTTACTAGCAAAAAATATGAACAGAAGAGGAGAAAGAAAGGGTATAGAATAGGGGAGAATATGACAACCACAAACCAGCCTCCCTTTCATGAATCATGTCACGCCCTAAAATTAAATGTGATCGGCACGGTATATATATACACAAATAAACATCCTTTAAGCCTTGATCAGGGAAACTTTAATCTAGTATTTTAATTCATTTGAAATATGATGGAAGATAATTGTGATATTTTCATGTAAACAAAAGATCAATAAACTTATGTAAAAATTTCATCAAAATCTGCCCTCTAAATAGGACCTTCTGAAATCTATACAACAGTAATATATAGTTCAAATTAGAATCCTATTTATAGTTAACGTAGAGCATACCTAATTATAATTTCAAAATATAATAACTAATTAACCATTTACAGTACAAGAAAGATATATTCAAAAGATTTTCTCCTCAATTCAACAAGAAGTCCCTCATAGATCAACAGAAGGTAGATCATCAATTATATTATTTGAAACCAAAAATATTTTCAGTGAATAATGCCCCAACAATAAATAATTGATCATGAATCAAAAGGAAAGTTTGAAATAATTATGTAAGTTAAAGAGACAATAATTTTTATAAAAATTTAATAAACTTCAGAATAAAATGACTCTATAAAATTTTAAATGAAATCTTAGACCATTGTGCTATCATAGCAAATGTTATTATCACTTGATTTCAAGAAAGCATATAAATGAAATAAATACTTATAAATAAGTTACTAAGTAAAAACTAATGGAATATAAAATTACCAAATAATCAGATTATAATTATAAGAACTTATCAAAACAATTAACAAATGTGAACATACAATCTACGAGAGTAAATAACCAAATGTGGCTTATGCCACGAAAACAAACATGAACACACAATCCACCAATGTAAGTAACCAAACATAGCTGAAGCTATGAAACAAATGTGGACACACAGTCCATGAGGATAATGCTAACAAAACGGGGCTCAAAGCCATGAGAATCAAACGCAAGTATGAAACCCATAAATAACAAATGTGAGTGCAATGCTCACAAAAGTTAAACTAGCTAGTCATAATTATGGTGTGGCAAGGGCTGATGGAACTACCGCTTTTTGGAATAAGTCCCTTTCAAATTCAATTTCAAATATGCGAGAAACTCATTAGTAATAAATGAAGTTTTCATTTTCAAAGTCAAACTCGCATGAATCATTCTCTGTATCAATCCAATATTTGGTGGAATAAAAATCTCATAATCAAAGTCCAAACTTATTTTAATTGATCAAATAACATTTCAAATTTGGTAAAACTAATTTCTCAAAATAAAGTAATTTTAATCAACAAATATCCAATAATCGCATTATTGCTCTTAAAATAATTTGCCAAAAAACGTAATATTTTAGTAAGGAAAATTTTGATTGCAAAAATCAGTTGGGATGCTATTCACTTACCTAATAAGCTCCTAAAATAATCATATGTTCTTTCTAAACACCTCTCCACTTCCCTTTAGCTATGTATTCTGTTACCTAAACTAGAAGAACAAAGAACTTTCTTCATTAAAAGCTCTAATTCATATATCTCTAACTAACATTCATAAACCCACTATATATTATTTAGAACATATTAAAGTTCTCTCAATCCTTATTTGTACTTAACCCACCAACCATAGTTAAAGTTATATTCTTCTTATTCCTTTTTCTCACCTACAATAATATACTTATTTCAATCATACCTCCTTCCTTTAGTAACCAATAAGTGATTTATCCTTAAGATTCTTCAATAATTCTTTACAAAATTATACTTTATTCAAAACAGTATGGTTTCTTATCCTACACGGTCACAACTGATCGCATATGTCACACCTCGATACTAAGGGTATGATCGGCATGGAATATGAAGTGAACTCACATTCCATAAGCCTTAATTAACTAGAAATCAAAACTAAAATAGAGATATACGTAAGTTATATAATAGTAAAGTTCATAAAGTTTTAAAGTTTTTTTTATAAAAATTTCGACAGAATCTCCTCTATAATTTGGACATCCCAAAATTTTCATAATAACAATAGAACCTACCAACCAGACTAACAAGGAGTCTAGCTCTATTCCAACAATTTTTACAATAACAATAAACTTAGAATCTAACTATGGTGTATGTGGAGTACTAACTTATAATTTACAAAATACCATATAAGATTTCACTAAAAAGAATAATCACCACGTGCTTCCTTTTTCCAAAAAGCAAGAAGTGCCCTCACTGGTTAGTTGGAGGTGCAGGGTCAGCTACGATATCTGAGACTAAAAATTTACCAGTGAGTAGCGTTTCAATTAAGATTATAGTAAAGGAAGTATAAGGATAATAAATAACAAATTTAATTTCAAGTAACTTAATGAAATAATGAATTATCCAAAATTAAAAATGAATAATGATTTTTCATAATAGTCTAATTGTGAATCTAGACAAGGCTGATAGAATCACATATGTGTATTAAAATTTTGTTGCTCATAAAATATAAAGACTTACAATAAATACAATTCGATAAAGCACTTTCAAAGAATTTTAAGAAAATGGTAAATTTTAAATTTGAAATTTTAGGAGGGCTTTATCAAAATAAATAACAAGCATGGACAGACAATTCATGAGGATAAATAACAAATCAAGTGTGGCCAAAAGCCATGAAACAAGCGTGGAAAATGCCACGAACCAAGTACAGGCTTGAAGCCTATGAACAAAAGCGCGAGTACAATACTCACGAATAACCCTCACTCTGTTCCACATGCGTTGGCCATCGCACAGGGCTAACATCTCCTGTAAGCACCCTACTAGTTAAGTGTACCATGACGGACCAAGGGCTAACGGAGCTGTCGTTAACATCCAGCGTTCGAAATTCAGTCCCCCTCATTAAAATCAAGTGTGTATGGAGAAAGAAAAATAGTTTCAAAATTCTCACTTTCAAATATTATTCCACTATCATTTTCCATTGCTCAAAATTATCATTTCCTCCATACACAAATAATTGCAATAAAAATTTTATATCAACATAGAATTAAATAATTAAACTATTTATAAGAAATAATACTATTAATATGGAAATAGGATTAATAAGAATGTGTAAACAATTTATAAAGAAATACTAATAATATTTAAGTAAAGAATTTTTTTAAAATACTTTACTAAAAATATATTTGGAACGTCACCCACTCACCTGAGTTTCAAAATCTCACAATCCAACTCCCACAACTCCTTACTTATTCCAATGATGTCCCAAAATTAATATAACACATAATCCAACAATCTTTCTGTCATTATAAATATTTATAATTTCTCTAGACTTTATTATAAACTCTCACAGTCTTATCCCACATATAAATCTTTCAAGGATACTTTCAATTACTGAGAGAACATGCATCATGCCAAATCATGAAGCAAGCATCCAAGTAAAACTAATAATTTTCATCTTCTAATTTCTTTTGTAAAGTTCTGGCTCAGCGTATATTAAAATAATATTTAAGTCAAACCACCCAATTCTTTCTACCACCATAATATTATAAGGAAACAGGGTATGCTTTCATCCAACGAAGCAAGCAGAGTAAATTGCACAGTATACTAAAACCTATACTCACGGAAGAAAGGAGTATCAATATCTTACCCTAACTAATATGTAGTAGAAGCTATTACACACCCGACCCACGGACAACACGAAAAAATAAAAGAGCTACAATCACATGGTTCAAGAGAAGGAGACAGAACAGACTTCATAGAACAGAAGAGAAGCAGCAAAATATTAAGCTTTCTTCGTGCATGGATGTTCAATCGGTGAAGATGAAGGACATGAAAGCTATTTTCCCACTCACCACCGACAACCCTTTTTTAGAAAAGAATGACAGAAAGCTGTAACTTTCTCCCTCCAACGTGACAGCAGAACAAAGAGAAGAGGAAGAAGGTGACGGCCGAACAGAGAGAAGAGGAAGACAACAACTCGATGGCAAAGAAAGGAGAGTATTGCTCACCTCTCGATGACACAAATAAGACGATGACAGGTAAAGAGAATCAGTAGCTCACTACACTGTGGCTGGCAAGCACGAACGGCAAGGATGGCAGCGAACGAAGCACAGCAACGAAGAAACACCCCACCGATAGCTAGCTAAGAAAGTTGAGAAGAATCAGAAAGATAAACCGACTACAAGAGTCCAGAGAAGTGTATAAGGGTGGTGGGGATTAAAAAAAAATGCGATGCCCTGTTTTATAATTGCGTGAACGGGCTGATTCAAAGAAAAGGAAGAATGGGAAAAATTACAAAAAGAACACAAGAAATTTACAATAAAAGGCACAAGAAAATTACTAGAGAGCACACAAAATTTTCTATAATTTAAAACTAAACTTTTACTTAGAAAATTTAAACTCTGGATCATTGCAAAAATTTCTAGCATAATTTTCTATAAATTACCTGTCACGCCCCTAAAACAAAGGGTGACCAGCATAGGATGTGAATTATATCATACATCCCTTAAGCCTCAAATTAAATGAAATTTCACTTTTCAAAAATATAATTAGATTTGTATTGAAAATATGATATCTATAATAATGATTGTTTTAAATAAAGTTTTAATATTTTTTTATAAAAATTTCGGCAGAACCTTCTTTATAAATACGATCTCCCGAAATTTCTATAACAAAAATTATTATAGTATGCATTCAACAGATTGAAACTATATTTCTCAGATACAAACAATCAACATAATAGAACAAAAATCAGGATCCTAGCTATAGTTAACGTGGAGCACCTAAAGTATAATTTTGTTTAAAAAAATAAAACATATAATTGAATATTCACATTAAAAGAGAAGGGATTTACAAAGATAAATGTTTATCTAGCACAGTTGCAAGCCCTTAAAGGTCGGCAAGAGGTCCAGCGTCAGTTAATGAATCTGAGACTAAAATAATTTTCAGTGAATAGCATCCCCAAAAGTAGAGTTTAATAGAGCGAAATAATAACTTACTATTCTATAAAATAATGGAAAGGAAATTAATTCAAAAAAAAACTCACAAGATTTAGATATATCAATCATAATAATAAAACATGAATAAGTTAATTTCTTGAATCTAATATGTTAAAGGAGTATAATTTACTCATAATTGAGTAAAAGTAGCAATTTACTAACTGCAAACATTGAAAATTCAAATATACTAACTGAGAACAATCAATATAATATAATCATGAATTCAAAGGTTAAGAAGTTCCATATAGCTTCAAAATACTAAACCACCGAATTGATAATGACAAAACAATTCAACTCCTTCTACTTGTAAAGCAAATTAAATAAATAAAAATACATTCTATTAAATAAAACCAATAAAGTGTGTATTCACAAATCAATTAAAAGTTAATATTTTTAAGGACTTTTGCAGAACAAGTAACAAACATGGACACACCAGTCCACGAGGGTAAGTAACCAAACGCGGTTGAAACCACGAAACAAACGTGGACACACAGTCCACGACGGTAAGGCTAACCAAACGCGGCTCAAGGCCACGAAACAAACGCGAGGGCAAGGCTCGCGTACAACAAACATGAGAACGGAGCTCACGAAAACCAAGCTAGCTAGTCATTTACTAAGGTGCACCAAAGGCTAATGAAACTGCCGTTAGCAACATTGTTCCGCTTAAAGTCCTCGTGAAATCAATTTTCAAACATGCAAGAATAATCATTTTTGAAATACAATTTGCGTTCTCAATATCAAACTTGCATGAATTATTTCAAATCTCAGAGTTTGCCAAAACATTGTTTCATAGCAAATGTATAAACTTGTACTAGTTGAGTAACCAAGAATTTCTAAAGTAAAATAAACAAAGATGCCTCCATCAATCTTGAAAATATATTTCATAAAGAAAATACATGCATATACCATAATTTAATCAACTTCACCATCATTCTAAAATTTTCAGAACCAAAATGATTTAATTAACAAAGTACATAATAATCATCGTAGTTGTTAAAATGATTTATATGAAAATATAATATTTTTAAAAAAACATACTACTTTTATAAAAAAAATTATGAGGTGCTATTCACTTACCTGTAGAGTTCCCAAGTACGTATCTTACTTCCAAACTAGTCTCCTGATGACAATGCCTTGTCCTTAAAATTTTTAATATACAAAGAATATCATTGTCACTCCCTCAAACATACTTTACCATTCAAAAATGTTTATTAATCCAAAACAACTAAGAAAATGAGACAAAGAAAACTTTTACTTTTATCCTTCTCAACATTATATGAAACATTAAAATATAATTAATTATATAAATAGCAACTTGGTCCTTAAATTACTAACTCAAATATCTCCCAAAAGTTTCAAATTTATATTTTAACTTTAATTACAAAACACATATGCCTCTTAGGATTATCTAATCAATGATGACATACCTATCATATATATCTTGCCACGTAAAATCCAAAATTTTCTCTTTTAAACATTTATCAAATACCCTTTACTTTGCATGATATTTAGACCATAAAACCAAGTTCCTATCCTCTTAAATTCCCTTTCCAAAGGTGGTTCTATATAAATATGTGAACTAATCATCTTTTAACTTCTATTGAAGAGAATTGTCTTATAATTTCCCATTTAGTTAACAATAATATAATTACCACATGTATCTTGTTGTCATATAGCAAATTCTCCTAATTAGGCATTTCATCAAATATTTTATTTAATCGATAAACTAAAATTCTAGGTTATTTCTCTCCAAATCTCATTCCAACGGTTTCCAAAATCAATATTTGAGGACTCTCCAAATTTTTTTTATTCATTCAACACCAACCATTTAATTCATTCAAGGAAAATTAAATTTAAATTATTTCTCTGCAACAGCGAATGCAAAAGCAATTTATCAACCCAAAAATCATGCTTTTAATCTCCTTATCACACATGACGGCAGCAAGAAGGAATTCACAGCTCAGCCCAAATAATACACGTACAGAATAAGCAAAGGAAAATAGGACCTGAAGCACCTACCTTAAATCGGCGAATCTAGAAGCCAAAAAAAAGAGGAACTTAGATGAGCAAAAATGGAGGGTGAAACCGACGCACTCACTGCCACGCACGGTCGAACACAGCACTGACACTGAACCTCAAAGAAATAGGGGAAGCCATTATTAGGTGAACCAAGAAGAGTAGAGGAACAAGGATGAACGGATGCTAATGCACCCACTGTCGCGAACATAAGGCGACAGCAACGTTGTGCCAAAAAGATGAGGCCAGTCGCACAAATCAGAGGAAGAATAGGGGAGGATGGATGAAAGGAAGAGAGGATTCGAGCATCCATGGTCACTGACGATAGTGGCGAGAAGGGACGGTGGAAGGACGAAATGAAGAATGGGGAAAGAAGCTTCTGGATCTCAATCTCTTTCTTGCTCTCTCACTTCTCTTTCTCGAAAAATCGAAGAAGTAGAGGAAAATATATCAGATTTAATAGAGGGGTAGTTTGGTAATTTCACAGAGCAAAAAGGCAAAAAAAAAAATTCTTCTTGTGGCTTCCAGCAAATTCAAACTTGGGACCTATTGATAGAATACTTGCACAGCCACCACTATACCAGCTTCCCTTCTTGACATATTTGTCCCAATAATTAATATATTTACAATCAATACATATTGTTACATATTTAATTTTTTTCCTTAAAATTTTTGGGTTACTACATTACCCCTTTCTAATTACTATAAAACTTATTTAAATGAAATATTTATTAGAAAAAAATTTTGTTCAATTTAAAATTTAGGATCATTACAGCATAACACCTTTAATTCAATATCATAAATGTTATCAAGTACAACAAATTTCTTTGTTGTTCCCATGTGCTTCAAGACCTAAACTAATCCAACAAATTTCATAATTTCACCTAACAAGTTCAAATACTAACCTATCAACAATAAGCCAACTTCTTGATTTTTTTAAGCTTCATCATAGAAAGTAATTTACTTATTTTATAATGTAATCAATGATACCTTCATTACTATTGATTGTCTCAATAGTTTAAAAATTTGTCTCTCACTCATTTCATCAAACATTTGGTATATCACCCTGTAAACACCGTATTTTATCCGGACATTTTTTAAAAATAATAATAAATAACCCAAAAAAATATAAAAATGAAATTTAATCTTTTTTAGGATTATATTTAAAAATAATAATTTTAACAAAATCAAAGAAAAATCTTGTTTGAATCTTTTAAAATCTTTCCTAAATTATCCCGACCATTCAAAATATTGGGAATCAATTTTTTTTAGACTCAACTATTTTTAAATTTTCTTTCCTTAAATCTTTTTATTTTTCATTTAAATATATATATATATATATATTAAAATTAGACTTTTCTTTCCCTCCCTTAATCTAATTGATAATAAAAAAAGAAAAAGCATTAAAAAAAAGAATGGCTGAAAAAAAGGGACATGTACGTACGAAGCTTGAGCATAGAGCAAGCAAACATAGTAATAGACCAGGGAGAAGCAAACATGCACAGTGAACACACGAAACCAGAGTCACAGACAGCTAAAAGAAACAAACCTTTCTCGGTCAGGCGCTGCATGAGGGAAAGGAAGAAGAAAGCCAAAAACATATAGAGAAAAGCATAGAAACGCAGAAGAAAATTCAGACACATGCACATAGTAGAGCAGAGTGAGAAAGCACGTAAACTCTCTCCTCACACGTAAGCTCTTCCCTATTTCTGCTTTAAAAGAGAGAAGACTGAAAACTGGAAGAAGGGGGCAGAGAGAGAGCCAAAGACGAGAAGAGAGAGACAGAAAGGAAGACTAAAAACGAGATGCATGCAAATAGAAGGAAAAAACAGAGCAGACGCATAAGACTAAGAAAGGATAACAGAGACAGATATCACGAGAAGCAGAGACAGAGAAGGAGTGGAGACGAAGAGAAGAGAGAAGAGACTGAGAAGGTGAGGGGAGTCTGGAGAAAAGAAAAAAACAACGAGGACGAGCACGACGGAGAAAACGCAGGAAAATAGAGACTGAGAATGGATCAAAGATAGTGAGGAAAAATGGAGAAAGGAGGGAAGAGGAAGACCGAGGAAGAGAAGAAAAACAGAGAGCAAAAGAAGAAAGAGATCGAGAGAGGAGAGACTAAAAAAAGAGAGTCAGAAATGTGAGAGAGAGACGAATGAGAAAGAGACCGAGAGAGGAGGAAACTGAAGCAAAAACAGAGTACAACAAAGAAAAAATAGAGAGACCAAAACTGGAAAGGGAGAGAGGAAGAAAAATCAAGTATAAGAACAGAGACCGAGAGTAGAGACGGAGCAGAAGTTGAAGGATGACTGAATAGGGACTGGAACTGAGAGAGTGAGAAGAGGAACACACATAAACAGTCATGCATGCACACGTTGGTTTGTGGACTGAACGAGATCACCATTTTCTTCTTCCCTCAGTCACATGAGTTCTGGATGTTTTACAAGCAACAGAGAACTAGAAACATGTTTAAAACTTAGGGTTGAAGTAATGAAAGCGTTGTCTTGAGAGGAAGAAGAAAGCAAACCTTCTGCTATGGCTTTGTCCTTAAGTGAGATTCTGCTATCTGTGAAGGTTTGGGCTAACTTGTTATTGTTTCACTTTTACTTTAGTAATTAAATATGAAAATTGAAAGTGACTTCGTGTTGATTTCATGGTTTAATGAACTGTGATTGATTATTCATGGTGGTTTAGATTAATGGTTTCTCAGTGCCATTTTGTTTTGAAGTTCTCAAATAATGCACTTCATGATCCTGGGTCACAAATTATTATTTTTAACTTCGTTGTCTCTGCAATTGTTAATTTGTTTTATGTCCCATTAATTGAGATGAAATGATTATTATAATTGCAGTGACAATTTTTGCTACCTGTGGTCCTGGAGTTTCATTTCGTTATAGTCATAATTTCCATTGTGACTATTTGTGTTTATCATATTGCAGTGTCCTGATTTCTTCTTTTACATGCCCTGCATAATTTCTTCTTGCTTGTTATCGCAAATGTCACGATTATTAATTTGTATATATTGCCCATTATTGAAATTAATTCTCTTTTCATACTAATTATTTAAGTTTCATGAGAGATTTCAAGAATCTTCGTAGAAACTTAAATTAATTACATTATCGTGTAGGATAATAAATCCACATAGATATCGTGATTTACAATTTATATGGTAAATAAATAGATGAATTTTGTAAATAAAATAAAAAATTTATAATTTTAATTATTTAAATTAATGAATTTAGATTATAATTATATTTACCAATTATATCTTTTGGTCATGTGAGATTTTTGAATATCTATAGACCTCTAGAATAATCATCTTACTGTGAAAGTCAATAAGACTTCATAGGTATAGCGATTAAGATTTTTATATTTTAAAATGCAAATTATATAATTACATATTAAAATATTTTTAAAAAATATATAATATTTAATCCTTTATGGTGTGAGGATTTTGAAATCTCCGCAGATATTTAGGATAATCGTATTACCGTAAAAGTCAATAAGGCTTTGCAAATATGATGATTAAGAGTCTTTAAAAAAAAAGAGAAGTATATATGAATGTACTAAAAAATAATAATTAAAAAAAACTTAAGTAAATAAACTAAGTTGTTAAACTCTTTTATCTTGTGAGAGTTTGGATTCGCCGCAGATATAAAGAATAATTGTATTACCTTATAAACCAATAAGATTCTACAGGTACTACGATTAAATCCCCAATCATAAAATATGAAGGAAAAATAATTTTAAACTCTTTTCTCCCTTTATTCTAAAAATTCAAAAATTGAGAAAATAATTAAAATTAAATCACTTTTTGCAATTTAAAACACATGTATCAAAATTTCAGAAATTATTTTATTTGCAAAATGGTGAATTATTTCTAATTAATTTCTTTTCAAAAAAATATTTTCACTAACAAACTTTTAAGTTCGAACTACGTGGACTTTGATCCCCATCACAGGGTACATAGGCCTCAGAGTTAAATTTTGAGTCAAGTCGTCCCTCATAAATAAATAAATATTTCTCATTTAATTCTTATCATTTTTTATATCAAACACATGAATATAAAAGGAGATAATTAAAATAATTTTAAAACCATATTAATATAGCACAACAAACTTTAGGTAACTGTTCTCACGAACGGGTGTTGTGGGATACCTAACACCTTCCCTACACTCAACCAACTCCGAAACCTATTCTTTGATTTCGCAGACCACCCTTATCCACCTTTAAATAGTTTCTTGAGATTTTCCTCAAAATCTTAGTGGCGACTCTCATTTCTCCGGTCTTCCTTCTAAAGGCCATTTTATTAACATATATTTTGTTTGGATCATTGTCAATTGTTTGCAACATCTTTCTTTATTTTTATTTGGACATTTCCATTTGCATCACATTGCTAAAAAAAATCATTCCATTATGTTTGTTATCCAATAGTCTTACATTCTTTTATGTTGTTTGGTTATTTGCATCACACTGCTAAAACAAAAAAATGTGAGATTGACTTAGCAACCGATGACCCTTGAAGGAAGAACTTAGAAATCTCTCATTGTTCTCTCTTTCTTATCTCTCTCGCATTTCTTAGAAATTGTTTCTTCTACTTTATAATGATTTTCAATTCTTATAGCACTATCAACAATTTCAGCATAAGTGACATCGTGACCCAACATAGGGCCATATTATCTCATATATATATATATATATATATATCTACTGACAATCCATATACAAGCTTGCTAATCCATTCCCTTTCAGTTGGTACCATATGGGAGGCAAAAGAAGATAATTTTTTGAATTTTTAATTGTACTATACTATTAACATTCCCTAACTGCATATTTAAAGTTAAAAACTCTTCAACTTTTGCATCTCTAGTACTTTGAGATAGATATTGATTCGGAAATATAGTTTTAAACTCCTCCCATGTCAAAAAATGTACCTTAGTTGAATGCAGATTTGGGACTATTTTCGCTAAAGTACTTACTACTCCTTGCAACTAAATCATTGCAAACTCAACATACTAAATATTAGGGTATCTTAAGCCTCGACATCTCTTCTCAATTCCTTCAAGAAATTCAATCAGATCCTCCCATGTGTTGGTTCCCAAAAAGGAAGGGGATTTAGCTTCATAAATTCTGCTTTATTGCAAGTGGTTCCTCTTGCATAACATGTGTAGAGAGAACAGTCTGACTGAGATTCTAAATGTTCAACCTCGAAAAGAATGTCTTGGAAGGACTTAAGGGTTTGGCCACCCTAGTCCTAATCCTACTCTGACACCGTCCCCTACCTCTCAAGGGCATATCTTTTATCAAAGAAATTTTACTAGAAGCCCTACTACTAGTAGAACTCCTAGTAAATACTCGACGTTTGGGTGACATATTTCACTATATAAAGAAATAA